GATTTCTTAAGTTCATTAACGAAATGTTAAGTCATCATTAAGAGATCTTGCGATGTCACTATGGAATAACCGCGTATTATGGATTTTTTAATTATGAATGTGTAGAATTAAATTTCAATAATAAACAAAATAATTGTAATAAATTAATTTAGTTTAAAGGTTTGTATTTAAAAAGGGATATATCCTTTGTGTATAAAATTTTAAAAAGTATAATTACCATAATATTTATATTTTGCAATTAGTGTCATATCTATCTTATGCAGCGTATACATGCCATTGCATACATTAAGTATAATCTTCAATGTTCGTCAAAATATTGGTTTAAATCTCTACTACATCGCAATAAGTTGCCTTTTAAGTCTTGCATCTAGATAACACCAAGTATTGCCAGATAAATTTTGACAAAGTTGTCCGTGGACAAAGAAAATCTTAGTAAATTTTCATGTGTTTTTTCAGAAAGACCGGCCAAGTTGCAACTGTACAATGTAGAAGAACTATACAACAACGTAGAACGATCAATTCTAAGTGGTACATGACAATTTGTTTACGGGAAGTCTTTGCTGAATTGAATAAAACCAATTATCGAAGAAAAATCAGTTTCCATCACAATAATGTTAACTCTCACAACTCTCATCAAACAAAAGAGTTCTTGAATTGGCACCCAATGACTTCTTTTTGTTCCCAACCGTTAGGAAAATAATGCATGGCAAAGGTTTTTCGAGACCCGAAGAGGCCTTTGAGCCCACAACACCCTAATTTTAGAGATATCAACTTTATAGTGACAATACGTTTCCAAAATTGGTTCAACCGAATGCTCAAATGACCATGATGGAAAATATTACGCAAAACAATGAAACGATTTTTACTGATTAACCATTGTTATTGTTAGGCTCAAAACTTAGAAGGCAGCCTAGGAATGAGGTGCTGCCTTTAACAAGCACATCTAGCCTCTCCTAAACATATTTCTATACTTGTAACTCCCAATAATGCGTAATGGAACTAGATTAGTGTCTTGTCAGGTAAGAGAACTACGAGTGTCGAAATACCTTTGCGAATCATCTTCTGATTGCAAGGGTATAAGTAGATTTGAAAGACTAGGTAAATATTGGATTGTGAACCAGGCGACAATTCAGAGTCAGAAGTCTATTGCAAAACACTTTCAAGTTACAATGATATAAAGGTTGAGAGAACAATTCAAGCACAACACTCGTTCAATAGTGACAGAGTTCCAGTCAATTGAGCACAACCAGTGATTGGAGGTCTGTAATACCAAAATAAGATTGAATGAAATATAATGGCCTACAGTTGGAGTTATTTGTTTTATTTCGGAACATAATTAGTCAGAAAACCTTAAGCAGAAAATAGATAACATCGACCTTTGCAGTTATAAAACGCTGTGATACTGACCAATGATTGGCATATTGGTTCATTAAAATATCTCCATTATAATTTAAAAATTTAATTAAAATAATTTAAAAAACAATTTTAATTAAAACTATCTGAAATCTCATATCAATGTTTCAACTCTTATATATAGCGAAGTAGAAATATGACATTTTTGAATACTAATTAAGGATATATTTTCAAAATATTATATCCGCAATTAAAATGAGAATCACAATAAAGTAAACAAAACCAAATACAAATTCTAGTACTTTTAAATAAATATTTTGTATATATACGAGTACGACCATGAGAACACTAATTGCATAAATAATTCTAATAAAAAATAGATTGAGAAGTGCCAAAATATTCATAGCACATATTTCTGTTTTTTGGATATTTTTCTTATGGAAGCTACACAACTACATTAAACGAGTACAGTACGAGCACATCCTTTCCCCCTTTTTTTCTCTAGAACAAAATGACGCAAATATTCTTTTTATGAGGGTTTATTAGAAGTTTTGCAGCATTTTTGAGAGGGAGATTTTATTGCTGACAGACGTGCTTAGGTTGCAACTTCATCAAAAAACAATTGTGAAGTTTTTATACGAAAAATAGTAGAATTTTAGAGAAGAGAGAATGTGAATTCCTTAAAAAGTATTAAAATGAATTATAGAATTCAACAGGCAACTTTTGAGATGAAACAAGAAATTTAAGAAATACGAGTAGTAAATTTAAACTTTAAATATTCCATTTGAAATTTAAACAATTGAAGAATAAACATAAAAAATAAAATTTTTATTGCTTAATATAATAAAAATAAATATTTTTTTACTAATAATAACTTTAAGTTATTATTGTTTCAGATAAAAATATATACTCTGTAAAATACTGATATCAGATTTTCTTATTTAACAGGATTGATAACATCATAGATTGCACAGCAATACAGTACTGAGCTGATAGTAATTAAAGAATTGACAACTAACATGCAATTATATGGAATAATAAGCTACATCAGCTACACTGTGACACATATATAGTTAAGTCTATTCGATTCAGTGACTTTGCTAGCTAAATAATATGATGACAGTGAATGAAAATGCTCCTACTACAGAGTTGACTAACAACCGCTGGCAGTAAAGGATATGCGAACCCTCAATGAGAGAATCGATGCACGAACAGTTTGATGTTACTCGGAACTACCTATTTGCTAAAACAAGTCATTGATCAAGATACCTGGCGAAAGTTACTATGACAATCATATGATGACAGTGGATGAAAATGCTCCTACTACAGAGTTGACTAACAACCGCTGGCAGTAAAGGATATCAGGACCCTTGATGAGAGGATCGATGCACGAACAGTCTGATGTTACTTGGAACTACCTATTTGCTACAACAAGTCATTGATCAAGTAACCTGGCGGACATTACTTTGACAATCAGATGACCAAGATGATAAATATTATATCAGTGAAGGTGAACTATGTTGATTATTAAGTGTTTGCTGAATACTATAGTGTCTTTATCTGCCTAACCCTCTAATAACAGATACGATATCCACTGAATACTGTTAGTGTTCATCTCTTGCTTAGCATATATATATCATCTACCTACTTCGAGCTCTCTAATTTAAAAAAGGGTATCCTCTGAATGATATAATTATGTGCCTAGTGAAACTTAAGCTTCACTGTAACTGTCTGTATATTAACAAAATCCGTTTCAAAACTTCATCTTCATCTACTGGAGTTTATTGTGTTGTAAAAACTATTCCAATATGCAGAAAGCTTTTCAAGAATTTATTTTTTATTGTCTTGAACTATTTGTTGTTATAGATGTAGATGTCTTCAAAATCATTGCTTATTTGAAACGTTCTGTTTTCTACTTTCAATTTTAAAGTATCCTTTGCATACGTGTATATTAGGTGTTAGTTTTGCACCTTTCAATTTTTTTTCTGACTGTGCTGATTGCACTAAAATCATTAAACTTCAAATGGCGCAGAACGTTTTTGGATCGCTCAATCCTCATTTTTATAGCATTTTACTGAAGTTCTCTTTTCGCATGCTTCATTTAATGGTAGAAATGCAGTTGAGTTCTAAGAAAAATTCCAAAATTCCCATTTTTTCTTTCTTCAAGCTATGCTCTTAAGTGTGAAATTTCAATGTGTCTGTTGCCTTGGTTAAACGAAAATACTTAGCATTTTTTAAATCAAATATTTGTTAATATATATGTACTTGTGTGTAGTAATAGTTGGATGGCTTAGATGGAAAAATACTTTAGTCAGCAGTTTGCCTCGGTACCAACTACTTAAGTTATTTATAACAATTTTTGCCAATTTTTTCTTTACCTAAGCCTTACAAATTTGATTTTCTATTGATTTCAACAATTGTTGCTTAAAAGCATTAAAGCGATTTGCACATTTTCCTCGGCAAACACGGGTGGAATAAAATAAATTGTCATTCAAATGCAACTGCATAACAAGTCAGTGAAGGATAACGTTTCAGCTAAACAAATATGAACGTCATTGCTACAAAATGTTTTATAATGCCAGCCGAAAGGGTCTAAAAGGATACAAGCTAAACACGTGCGCCTCCATGTTGCAATACATAAATAATTCACGGGTTTCCCCTACATTTACTGCGAAACTCTGCTGGGGGTTGTTTGAGTTCGAAAACGATATAAAACGGCAATCACGTTTACGATATTTCAAGTGTGATAGTTGCTTTGTACAAAACAAGGTTGTTTGCAATAATTTTTGCTTAGTATGAAGTCAGGTACCGAAGTGAAAGCTACACGCTTTACGAAGTCCTTTCTAAATTGGCGGAAAAATTTTACGTACTTTCACTTGAATTTATTACAAATTATATATTGAAATAATTTTATATAATTTTACTATAACAAATAATATGCCTGACATTTGCAATCTTAAAATTCTTTATTTTTCCTTAACAATTCCCTATAATTTTTTTTTAATAATTTTGACAATTAACAGCCAATTTACAACTTAACAGCAGTAGAGCACGCAAAGCACGCAATATTTCAAATATTTCAAAATTTTAATACTTAAGTAATATTTTTAATTAAATGCCTTTTGGCAATCAATAATCGTTAGGGGCCACAAAGCCACATGGCCGCTTTTGTGAGGTGGCATTGGATTTGTCTTCCACGGATATAGCCAACGAACACGTACCAGCTGCAAATTGAGCCAATTTGCTTTTATGGATTCCTATTAAGCGATGTGTCCGCTTATTGATTACCTCAATTTATCTACTAAATACAAATAAATTATCCATAAAAATGTATACATTTCAGAGATTAGATTCACTTTTAATGAGCTGCAAAACAACACATGCCACTCTTATGTAAGGAGAATTTATGTCTACGCCGTTGTAAAGTAAGAAAAATGTATCCGTTTGAGTTATTGAAAGTTTTTCACATATAGATTAATGTGTCATAAACTCATAATATATTTTATTGACAAATAGTGACAGTTTTGTTTACTTTTCGCACTGAAATATGCTACTCATACACTTCCTTCGCAACCATACAAAAGAAAATATTTCAGTAAGTCTTATAAGGAAGCAAAGTTTTGCAAAACAAAAAATATGATGGATTATGTCAATATATCTAGAAATACATATTTAAATACCAATTAATTTATTTTTGTGAATATTTAAATGCCACTTAAGTACAAAATATGATTAAATAAAAAAGATTTATTTTTAATTTTCATATGAAAGTCTTAAAATACGGACAAAGGCTTTCTTTGGTATGAGTTCTGTGATTTTCATAATTTTGAAAATTTCTATTTTAAAAATAATCAATCAAATTAAGAAACCAAAGAGTTTAAGAAAACTAAAATAATAAATAAACTTAAACAAGATGATTATGGAAGCTCAACGCCTTACTTTAAGAACCACTACGAAAAATTTATCTAAATTTAAATAGAGAAATGCTTAAATAATCACTTGATAATAATTCTGCTTATACAATGATTATAATTAAAAATTAAAGTACTAACAATGTTTAATTACCGGTAAGTTTTATTTTGTTAATCTCTGAATAGATCACATAGATCACTTATATTTAAAGAAACTGAACTTAAGACGTATATCTCAGTAGTAACAAAATGAACGTATTATGGCTAGAAACTGCTTAACTACTCCTTCATCTCTTATACCACTATTATCTTATATTATGGAAATAAAACATATGCTTGAAATTGATCTGATATTTTAAAATAACAGTTATTCGTAATAGCAAAAAATACTGCGTTTGCTCTTTCAAAATAACGCTTTCAAAATAATTTATATTAACTACTGCTCTCTCACAACTTAACATATTTCACCCAATTACCTTAACTAATACAAGCTCTTATAGTACACGCTCCACTATCTAATCTATCTAAGTATCTTAACTCCAAACCCAACGGACCAAGTCTGCAAATCCCTAATTTATCCAATCTCACAAAAATTTTGTACGTACCGCATTCC